TGCTTTGTAACACACCCACCAACACAACTAGTACCAAGTCTCCTGCTTTGTAACACACCCACCAACACAACTAGTACCAAGTCTCTTGCTTTGTAACACACCCACCAAGACAACTAGTACCAAGTCTCCTGCTTTGTAACGCACCCACCAAGACAACTAGTACCAAGTCTCCTGCTTTGTAACACACCCACCAAGGCAACTAGTACCAAGTCTTTCAAGCTGTTTTGTTAAACTATTGACCTACCAAACTCTTGTAGAACATAATAGAGGAGAAGCGAGCCAGCCGACTGTAGCACCAGTGGCCGTGCACCAGGAGCAGGTCCTGGAGGTGGTGGAATCGACAAATGGCAAAATCAGACGCCATCACTGCCTGCATGCCCTCCTGGCCTGAAACACCCACGCCAATGTCTGCCACATGGATCATACTGACGTCATTGGCTCCATCACCTGATACAACAACATTTACAAGTCAACATGGATTCACTTAATGCCTACTTGAGCAGCACTCAATAGACAACTGTTAACCATTATTTTATATAATCAGAAATGTGAACAAAAAGGAAATGAATTTTCAGAATGCACTGAATTTGACAAAACTGAAGATGAGCCTTTCTACTTATGTAACATTTTAAGATGGTTTAAAACCTACCTATCGCTAGTGTCAGTTTCTGTAGATGGTCACGGACTAGTTTCACAACCATGCCCTGTAAAATAAAGTCATCATTGATGGATTAATATTGTTTTCATTTTGTGAAATATCCTCAAATGTTATCTCTGATTTGATAACATTACACAATCCAATTCCTTCTGTACCATCTGTCTTTACCCCAGGAGCATGACCATATCTCTATCACGGGGGCCTTATACCTCTTACCTATCTTCTGAACCATCTGTCTTTACACCAGGAGCATGACCAATATCTCTATCACCTCTACCTTATACCTCTTACACCAATTGTCAAATGACTGACTAGGAGCACACTGCTGTGTTGTCCGTGTTGGGTACAGCATTGTCCACTTACGACTGTTTTAGTTACTATGTTTAACTCAGCCGCCTAAAGCTTCCACTAATCCTACCCACTTTCTAGCACTTAACCAATTCAACAATTCTGTATGGGTTAGACTGGACACTATCACTAATACCTACCTCCTCTAGGGGTAAGACTGGACACTATCACTAATACCTACCTCCTCTAGGGGTAAGACTGGACACTATCACTAATACCTACCTTCAGTATGGGTTAGACTGGACACTATCACTAATACCTACCTCCTCTAGGGGTAAGACTGGACACTATCACTAATACCTACCTCCTCTAGGGGTAAGACTGGACACTATCACTAATACTTACCTTCTACCTACCTTCTGTATGGGTTAGACTGGACACTATCACTAATACCTACCATATCCCTATCACCCCTCCCTTATACCTCTTACACTAATTGTGAAATGACTGACTAGGAGCACACTGCTGTGTTGTCCGTGTTGGGAACAGCATTGTCCACTTACGACTGGTTTAGTTACTATGTTTAACTCAGACGCCTAAAGCTTCCACTAATCCTACCCACTTTCTAGCACTTAACCAATTCAACAATTCTGTATGGGTTAGACTGGACACTATCACTAATACCTACCTTCAGTATGGGTTAGACTGGACACTATCACTAATACCTACCTCCTCTAGGGGTAAGACTGGACACTATCACTAATACCTACCTTCAGTATGGGTTAGACTGGACACTATCACTAATACCTACCTCCTCTAGGGGTAAGACTGGACACTATCACTAATACCTACCTTCAGTATGGGTTAGACTGGACACTATCACTAATACACCCCTCCCTTATACCTCTTACACTAATTGTGAAATGACTGACTAGGAGCACACTTCTGTGTTGTCCGTGTTGGGTACAGCATTGTCCACTTACGCCTGGTTTAGTTACTATGTTTAACTCAGACGCCTAAAGCTTCCACTAATCCTACCCCCTTTCTAGCACTTAACCAATTCAACAATTCTGTATGGGTTAGACTGGACACTATCACTAATACCTACCTCCTCTAGGGGTAAGACTGGACACTATCACTAATACTTACCTACCCCAGGAGCATGCCCATATCTCTATCACGGGGGCCTTATACCTCTTACACTAATTGTGAAATGACTGACTAGGAGCACACTGCTGTGTTGTCCGTGTTGGGTACAGCATTGTCCACTTACGCCTGGTTTAGTTACTATGTTTAACTCAGCCGCCTAAAGCTTCCACTAATCCTACCCACTTTCTAGCACTTAACCAATTCAACAATTCTGTATGGGTTAGACTGGACACTATCACTAATACCTACCTTCAGTATGGGTTAGACTGGACACTATCACTAATACTTACCTTCTACCTACCTTCTGTATGGGTTAGACTGGACACTATCACTAATACCTACCTCCTCTAGGGGTAAGACTGGACACTATCACTAATACCTACCTTCAGTATGGGTTAGACTGGACACTATCACTAATACCTACCTTCAGTATGGGTTAGACTGGACACTATCACTAATACTTACCTACCCCAGGAGCATGACTATATCTCTATCACCTCTACCTTATACCTCTTACACCAATTGTCAAATGACTGACTAGGAGCACACTGCTGTGTTGTCCGTGTTGGGTACAGCATTGTCCACTTACGACTGTTTTAGTTACTATGTTTAACTCAGCCGCCTAAAGCTTCCACTAATCCTACCCCCTTTCTAGCACTTAACCAATTCAACAATTCTGTATGGGTTAGACTGGACACTATCACTAATACCTACCTCCTCTAGGGGTAAGACTGGACACTATCACTAATCCCTACCTCCTGTATGGAGCATGACCATATCCCTATCTCCTCTCCCGTATACATCTTACCTGCCTTCTGTACCATCTGTGTTTACCCCAGGAGCAGGACCATATCCCTATCACCCCTCCCTTATACCTCTTACACCAATTGTCAAATGACTGACTAGGAGCACACTGCTGTGTTGTCCGTGTTGGGAACAGCATTGTCCACTTACGCCTGGTTTAGTTACTATGTTTAACTCAGACGCCTAAAGCTTCCACTAATCCTACCCACTTTCTAGCACTTAACCAATTCAACAATTCTGTATGGGTTAGACTGGACACTATCACTAATACTTACCTTCTACCTACCTTCTGTATGGGTTAGACTGGACACTATCACTAATACCTACCTCCTCTAGGGGTAAGACTGGACACTATCACTAATACTTACCTTCTACCTACCTTCTGTATGGGTTAGACTGGACACTATCACTAATACCTACCTTCAGTATGGGTTAGACTGGACACTATCACTAATACTTACCTTCTACCTACCTTCTGTACCACCTGTCTTTACCCCAGAAGCATGACCATATCTCTATCACCTCTCCCTTATACCTCTTACACCAATTGTGAAATGACTGACTAGGAGCACACTTCTGTGTTGTCCGTGTTGGGTACAGCATTGTCCACTTACGACTGGTTTAGTTACTATGTTTAACTCAGACGCCTAAAGCTTCCACTAATCCTACCCACTTTCTAGCACTTAACCAATTCAACAATTCTGTATGGGTTAGACTGGACACTATCACTAATACCTACCTCCTGTATGGGTTAGACTGGACACTATCACTAATACCTACCTTCAGTATGGGTTAGACTGGACACTATCACTAATACTTACCTTCTGTATGGTTTAGACTGGACACTATCACTAATCCCTACCTTCTGTATGGGTTAGACTGGGCACTATCACTAATACTTACCTTCTGTATGGGTTAGACTGGACACTATCACTAATACTTACCTTCTGTATAGGTTAGACTGGACACTATCACTAATCCCTACCTTCTGTATGGGTTAGACTGGGCACTATCACTAATACTTACCTTCTGTATAGGTTAGACTGGACACTATCACTAATACCTACCTTCTGTATGGGTTAGACTGCACACTATCACTAATACCTACCTTCTGTATGGGTTAGACTGGGCACTATCACTAATACTTACCTTCTGTATGGGTTAGACTGGACACTATCACTAATCCCTACCTTCAGTATGGGTCAGACTGGACACTATCACTAATACTTACCTTCTGTATGGGTGTGGATCTGCAGCATACCACTGATTTACACCGGACGGTCAACTTCAGAAATGTGGCTTCAAGTTCTTTGTCGAGAGCGTATGCCAGTGTGTGGCCGTCTATAACGAGGGCATACTCCTTCTTAGGTTTATTCTCTACCTGACTACTCTCCTTGTTACGGTTAATCTGTGTTATATGTTCCTCTAGTAGGTCCCTTGTGGTGTTCTGTGAGGACAAAATCAACACTCAATCACCATTTATTCTAGATACAAAAATAACAAACTTTGTAATGTTGTTCAAACATACATATCTCACCCCTGCTTTGACTGAAATGGAGCCAAATGCAAAGTCTTACAATTATATTATATTGATGGACCCATGGAAAAGCAAACACTTTATATAAAACCATGCTGCAAGTACATGAAAATAGGGACTCAAAACTTGTTATCACTTTTGTTTATGGGTGATAATCCTATTGATACAATGAATCTAAACTTTTAACTGTGCAGTTTGGAAGACAAGAGTTTGATGAGATTTCCTTCTAAAATGTATCTCTGAACACGGAAACAGTTTCCCCCAGACTTGCTGCTGCTGATGACACAGACTGACCAGACTTGCTGCTGCTGATGACACAGACTGACCAGACTTGCTGCTGCTGTCACAGACTGACCTTATCTGTGGCGTTCAGCACCATGATATGCATGTTGGTATCAAAAAGTTGACTAGCATAGGCTATCTGGATGGCAGTCTCCTGTTTGTCCCCGGTCAGGACCCACACTTTGATGCCGGCTCGCCGTAGCTTGGAGATTGTGGCCGGTACATCGTCTTGCAGCTTATCCTCTATACCTGTGGCTCCTGTGGTCAGAAACAATATGTTTGTTTGTGATTTATTGTTCACAATTTTGCAGGTACCACTAAATTGATCAATGATAAAAGACACTTCCTGTCCAGGGGTTTAGGATAGGAAAATTCCATATGTTATCATATAGTGTAAAACCCACGGCTTGCAAATTGTTTTACCATAATTTGGAAATTCTGAGGATGGGATTTCCGTTTCTTTCTCATTCCGATCAAAGAATTTCCTAGGTAGCTCAAAAACAATGAGTATGCATTTTGACTGGCTACCATCTTTAAAATATCAAATTTTTCTTCAAATTTTAGAACAAACATTCTCTTAAGATTTTGAATATCATCTCTTTGACTTAAACAGTTAAAAAATGTTCTACTTTTTTATCACATTGGCTGTTTCGCATAGTTGCATTGGAATTTTCCTGATTTCATGACATCACGTTATTTTTGTCTTATTGTGACATATAATTGACAGAAGTATAGAAATCCTAACACCTATTTCCTCACCTGGACAGTTCTATCGTACACTCAAAAGAAGGAGTGAAAAGTCAATAGTTTTTTATCACTCTTTTAAAAATACCTTATTTGCTAAACATTTCAGAACCATTGAAATGAAAATGATATGAGAAATATTCCTTTAGTACTGCAATGTGCAATCCTTTAGTGTGTAATCAAAGATCTGACTTACCAAGCAGTTCCAGGTCTTGTTCTATTTCACAGGCCACGTCAATGAGTTGTTCTTCTCTATTTTCTAATGAGGCATCGGCCTCCTTAAACCGAACACGCCAATTTTTGTAGTAGTCTAAATCTAGAACCTGTAATCAGAGAAAGTTAAATGTTATGACTTAAATTTTAACTACTTGGTGATGATCGTAACCGAGATCACTTCAAAAATTGACCTTAATTATATACTGTGAGTGTATAGTCATAGAACTACAGGTACGGCCTTAATTATATACTGTGAGTGTATAGTCATAGAACTACAGATACGGCCTTAATTATATACTGTGAGTGTATAGTCATAGAACTACAGGTACGGCCTTAATTATATACTGTGAGTGTATAGTCATAGAACTACAGGTACGGCCTTAATTATATACTGTGAGTGTATAGTCATAGAACTACAGGTACGGCCTTAATTATATACTGTGAGTGTATAGTCATAGAACTACAGGTACGGCCTTAATTATATACTGTGAGTGTATAGTCATAGAACTACAGGTACGGCCTTAATTATATACTGTGAGTGTATAGTCATAGAACTACAGGTACGGCCTTAATTATATACTGTGAGTGTATAGTCATAGAACTACAGGTACGGCCTTAATTATATACTGTGAGTGTATAGTCATAGAACTACAGGTACGGCCTTAATTATATACTGTGAGTGTATAGTCATAGAACTACAGGTACGGCCTTAATTATATACTGTGAGTGTATAGTCATAGAACTACAGGTACGGCCTTAATTATATACTGTGAGTGTATAGTCATAGAACTACAGGTACGGCCTTAATTATATACTGTGAGTGTATAGTCATAGAACTACAGGTACGGCCTTAATTATATACTGTGAGTGTATAGTCATAGAACTACAGGTACGGCCTTAATTATATACTGTGAGTGTATAGTCATAGAACTACAGGTACGGCCTTAATTATATACTGTGAGTGTATAGTCATAGAACTACAGGTACGGCCTTAATTATATACTGTGAGTGTATAGTCATAGAACTACAGGTACGGCCTTAATTATATACTGTGAGTGTATAGTCATAGAACTACAGGTACGGCCTTAATTATATACTGTGAGTGTATAGTCATAGAACTACAGGTACGGCCTTAATTATATACTGTGAGTGTATAGTCATAGAACTACAGGTACGGCCTTAATTATATACTGTGAGTGTATAGTCATAGAACTACAGGTACGGCCTTAATTATATACTGTGAGTGTATAGTCATAGAACTACAGGTACGGCCTTAATTATATACTGTGAGTGTATAGTCATAGAACTACAGGTACGGCCTTAATTATATACTGTGAGTGTATAGTCATAGAACTACAGGTACGGCCTTAATTATATACTGTGAGTGTATAGTCATAGAACTACAGGTACGGCCTTAATTATATACTGTGAGTGTATAGTCATAGAACTACAGGTACGGCCTTAATTATATACTGTGAGTGTATAGTCATAGAACTACAGGTACGGCCTTAATTATATACTGTGAGTGTATAGTCATAGAACTACAGGTACGGCCTTAATTATATACTGTGAGTGTATAGTCATAGAACTACAGGTACGGCCTTAATTATATACTGTGAGTGTATAGTCATAGAACTACAGGTACGGCCTTAATTATATACTGTGAGTGTATAGTCATAGAACTACAGGTACGGCCTTAATTATATACTGTGAGTGTATAGTCATAGAACTACAGGTACGGCCTTAATTATATACTGTGAGTGTATAGTCATAGAACTACAGGTACGGCCTTAATTATATACTGTGAGTGTATAGTCATAGAACTACAGGTACGGCCTTAATTATATACTGTGAGTGTATAGTCATAGAACTACAGGTACGGCCTTAATTATATACTGTGAGTGTATAGTCATAGAACTACAGGTACGGCCTTAATTATATACTGTGAGTGTATAGTCATAGAACTACAGGTACGGCCTTAATTATATACTGTGAGTGTATAGTCATAGAACTACAGGTACGGCCTTAATTATATACTGTGAGTGTATAGTCATAGAACTACAGGTACGGCCTTAATTATATACTGTGAGTGTATAGTCATAGAACTACAGGTACGGCCTTAATTATATACTGTGAGTGTATAGTCATAGAACTACAGGTACGGCCTTAATTATATACTGTGAGTGTATAGTCATAGAACTACAGGTACGGCCTTAATTATATACTGTGAGTGTATAGTCATAGAACTACAGGTACGGCCTTAATTATATACTGTGAGTGTATAGTCATAGAACTACAGGTACGGCCTTAATTATATACTGTGAGTGTATAGTCATAGAACTACAGGTACGGCCTTAATTATATACTGTGAGTGTATAGTCATAGAACTACAGGTACGGCCTTAATTATATACTGTGAGTGTATAGTCATAGAACTACAGGTACGGCCTTAATTATATACTGTGAGTGTATAGTCATAGAACTACAGGTACGGCCTTAATTATATACTGTGAGTGTATAGTCATAGAACTACAGGTACGGCCTTAATTATATACTGTGAGTGTATAGTCATAGAACTACAGGTACGGCCTTAATTATATACTGTGAGTGTATAGTCATAGAACTACAGGTACGGCCTTAATTATATACTGTGAGTGTATAGTCATAGAACTACAGGTACGGCCTTAATTATATACTGTGAGTGTATAGTCATAGAACTACAGGTACGGCCTTAATTATATACTGTGAGTGTATAGTCATAGAACTACAGGTACGGCCTTAATTATATACTGTGAGTGTATAGTCATAGAACTACAGGTACGGCCTTAATTATATACTGTGAGTGTATAGTCATAGAACTACAGGTACGGCCTTAATTATATACTGTGAGTGTATAGTCATAGAACTACAGGTACGGCCTTAATTATATACTGTGAGTGTATAGTCATAGAACTACAGGTACGGCCTTAATTATATACTGTGAGTGTATAGTCATAGAACTACAGGTACGGCCTTAATTATATACTGTGAGTGTATAGTCATAGAACTACAGGTACGGCCTTAATTATATACTGTGAGTGTATAGTCATAGAACTACAGGTACGGCCTTAATTATATACTGTGAGTGTATAGTCATAGAACTACAGGTACGGCCTTAATTATATACTGTGAGTGTATAGTCATAGAACTACAGGTACGGCCTTAATTATATACTGTGAGTGTATAGTCATAGAACTACAGGTACGGCCTTAATTATATACTGTGAGTGTATAGTCATAGAACTACAGGTACGGCCTTAATTATATACTGTGAGTGTATAGTCATAGAACTACAGGTACGGCCTTAATTATATACTGTGAGTGTATAGTCATAGAACTACAGGTACGGCCTTAATTATATACTGTGAGTGTATAGTCATAGAACTACAGGTACGGCCTTAATTATATACTGTGAGTGTATAGTCATAGAACTACAGGTACGGCCTTAATTATATACTGTGAGTGTATAGTCATAGAACTACAGGTACGGCCTTAATTATATACTGTGAGTGTATAGTCATAGAACTACAGGTACGGCCTTAATTATATACTGTGAGTGTATAGTCATAGAACTACAGGTACGGCCTTAATTATATACTGTGAGTGTATAGTCATAGAACTACAGGTACGGCCTTAATTATATACTGTGAGTGTATAGTCATAGAACTACAGGTACGGCCTTAATTATATACTGTGAGTGTATAGTCATAGAACTACAGGTACGGCCTTAATTATATACTGTGAGTGTATAGTCATAGAACTACAGGTACGGCCTTAATTATATACTGTGAGTGTATAGTCATAGAACTACAGGTACGGCCTTAATTATATACTGTGAGTGTATAGTCATAGAACTACAGGTACGGCCTTAATTATATACTGTGAGTGTATAGTCATAGAACTACAGGTACGGCCTTAATTATATACTGTGAGTGTATAGTCATAGAACTACAGGTACGGCCTTAATTATATACTGTGGGTGTATAGTCATAGAACTACAGATACGGCCTTAATTATATACTGTGGGTGTATAGTCATAGAAAGGACTACAGATACGGCCTTAATTATATACTGTGGGTGTATAGTCATAGAACTACAGGTACGGCCTTAATTCAACAATATGTCAAATCTTAAGAAAGATGAAAAAAACAATATATATAAAGAATATTGAATCAGAGGAAAGTTTGGAGAGATATTTGAATATGTATCATGGTAATTTGTTTCGTTGTTGTAAAAGATGTGGAAGATTAAAAACCCTTGCATGTATCTATCAGCAATATATGTGTTATTGTTTATTCTGATAACATTGATGATGACTAGTCTGCAGGCTTTACTATCTTTAACACACTGCATAAGGTATAATTTATCTTTAACACACTACATGAGGTATAATTTATCTTTAACACACTGCATGAGGTATAATTTATCTTTAACACACTGCATGAGGTATAATTAATTGACATTGAGTAATTTCATTGAGACACAAAATAAAAAACAAAATATTGAGAACTCAAGCAGTAACAAAATGGGGATATACAACATCACCAACCTTTTTGGCCATACAAAGTGTCCTCAATCCCCGCACAGCATAATCTAAAATATGGTCCTCTGTTCTACGCACCATGTCCTTCAGTACGGGATCCTCTGTTAATATCAACAGGTGCTTGTTAAAATTTCGTGACATTTTGTTCACCAAATATCCCCTATTTATTTATATTTCTTTGTTGTACAATAAACCATGTCTATTGCCAACCCTAGGCCTGATGTTCAGAGCTTGATTACCTTGATGGGATGTGAATGCAAGTCTTTCATTTTGTATATTTTCAAAAATACTATAATTCTGAATAAAAGCTGATCATCAACATACGTTTGTATTTCTTATGAAGTACGCTGAGAACCTGCGAGTCGGCTCCTTTGGTGTATAGTATGATTTCCTCGCTGACGGGATTACGGACTATCACAGACATCCTCTTACGTGTCGAGTCAAACGTTAGCACATCTAAAGTCTCGAACTCCACCTCGCCGTCAGCTGTAAGACGAAAGGTAACAACATGTCTAAATGGTAAACCTAGGCAACATTTCTTTGCTATACATACATGATATAGAGAACACAACTAGATCTCATCAAAGGAACATTTACACGATTCTCAAAGCTGATAATATCTGACACCACCTTCATGTGTATAACTGGGGACTTTATTGTGTATGTATGATCTGCCTTGGGATAACAAGAACTGTTAGGCAAAGGCTAACTAATTCTAGTCATTCTGCCATGAAAAAGGTTGAAATTGTAAAGATATTGTAATGTGTTTAATAAGAGGGAATATTTAGTAAATGTGATTGGATTTGAATTTTATTTTTGCAGAAAGAGTCATGTTCAAGTTAGGAAAAACTAGTTTGTATTGCTGCAATGAAAGAAGCACTATTTATGAACAAAGACCCTACCTGACAAGTAGACTGTTACTTGACCCTGTAAGGCTACTTACAAACTAAGTAGATCCTTTATAAAGACTGTGACTATATACAAGGTACAGTTATTTACAAGTCCTACCTGGCAGCCAAACAGTGACTTTATCTGGGGATCGCTTCAATAGACAACAACCGTAGGTACAGGACGCCTTAACCAGAGCTAGCTCATCTGGACTCTCAGCTTCATACTGGGTCCTCTGGGACATGTCCGACATGAAGGAAGATCCCGCGATGCTACCTTCGGACGGTGTTAGGGCAGGACTGGAGCTGTCGAAACGATTGTACAATTCTCTGTTTTGGAAGTCAGCTGTTCCCGAGATTGGGGGCAGGGCCAGAGATTTAGGAGTGGAGTTTTCCTGACCAAGAGGGGCCAGCTGTGATTTCTTTGCAGCTGGCTCTGGAAGCTTCCTGTAGAAATCATTTAGCTTCTGTTTCTCTTTGTCATGTTTTTGTTGATGAGGGTCATGGACTATCCCACTTTCATCCATCTTAAAAGGAGGACATAACCGTATATATAACTAAAATTTATGGTCATCATGATCAAGCATATGTCCTCATCATCATCATTTACATCTAAGAGGCACATTGGTTAATCTTAATAATGTTTTCAAAATCATTATAACATTATAACGACATATAGAGTGACTTTGTGTTTTAAAGATGTAACACCTCTGTGAAGATACCAGAACATTATTTCCTATTACATGTCAAAACCATTGTATTGTTAAACCTTATTAGTTGTATTCATTAGTTCTGAAACTTTTTTTTTTAATTGCAATTTCCACTTTGTCTAGAGAGTGGAAGTGTAAACTGATGTAGCTCACCAGGTCTTCGTGGGCATGTGTTGATACCACAACTGTGTTACAGATTGCCATGAGCAGGAAAAACTCCTGTATAATTTTGGTATTTTCAGACTTGGTGAGTGGCGGGGGGTCGGGAAGGGTCAGGTCCACACTGTTAAGGCTGCGCATACACATCTTTGACAGCTCCCGCTGTAAGTCCGGCTCCAGATTCAGGTTCTCCAGCACCTGGCATGGTCAAATAAAGGGTATTAGACAAGTGTAAATTGAGGTTAGTTTGGACAACAAACAAGGTCAGTATATATATAGGACAAGGTCAAAAGGTCATTTGGTACATATACAAGGTTAATTCACATGGTTTATTATTTAGACAAGGTCAAGTGATGGTGGTTAGATCAGAATTTGACATTAAAAAATATTTATCTTGAACACATTCATTATTTATGAGTTGAAAATTAATTTGCTACAATTTCAAATGACCTTAAACCCTTAGTTTATATTCTTAAAAGAGCTGTAACATGTACTAGACTGATTGACACATTAATTAGTTATTTACATCTACCAAGAAATCATTAATATCTGTAGACTTGTCTAGATTGGTAAATACCACATCAGATACAATCATGTAGCTTTATGATTAATGGTTATCTTATGTATTTATAGATCTAAATGTTTCTTCAACTCTTATCTTATACTGTACCTGCGTACAATATATATTATTTATTAACTGTACCCATATAACTGTACACTGTACTTGTATTAATTAGTATACTTTACTCATATAACTATATACTGTACTGAATACATTGTACATGTACTATGCTAATTAGTTTCTATGTTGATATATACACCACCCTCACTAAGCCAATCAATAGCAGTGCTGTAGTAATTGGATCCCGGCCAAATACCTTTGCTTGTATAGTTATTAGATATACACGTTCCACAACTAGGAGTATTTAGGGTACCAGGTACATATCCGACCAGGATATAGACTGTCAGCCTACTATATAAAACTTCTACTATTATATATCTATGATAAAAAGGCGATTGAGATGTAATAGGACTCTAGATTTGGTTGTAATGAACACAATTATATTTTCCTTGTGATGTACTAACTCACTGAGATATCTACTGGGTACTGGGTTTATATTTTTTGTTTAACTTAATATTTTTTATGATGATGTAAAACAAAAGAATCAAACAAACCACTGCTGTAAATCAGTTGTGTCAGTTAATGAATTCACACAGACATTGTCACTCAAGTATGACCACTTCAAGTATACACCTCCACACAGAAGTTAAACAGAAATGGTTTAAATCAACATGATCTGAATATCACTGATCCTAATTCCAAATAAAAATCTGACTTTTGTTTTTAGAAAACTATATCTAATAACAGTTGTAACTGTCAAACTGTACAGGTAATAGACCATTTATTTACCTGTACAGGTATCAGATAATTAAGTTATCTACTAATCAGTATCTATAAACAGGAAGGCACTATTATCTACACTTTATTTACTATTTTTTCTCTCAAATAAATAGTAAACATAGAGCGCGGTTTGATGTACGAGGTCTGATGAATTATTAACAATGAAGAGGATTAGGGTTAGATCAAATGAGTTATGATCTATAGTCTAATGAAGCATCATGTTAGGCTACACAGCCCTAATTAAACCACACCACAAGTAGAGCTTCAGGCTAACACCAACAGGTATGACAGTCAAACTTACGAGGTGATAGCCTTCTCCTCCGAAAGGGGCCTGTACGACACAAACACGTAGGTAAAATGGTTCTACCAAACAATGTATAGTAGGTAAAATATATAGACTGTACAATGCTACTACCAAACAATCTGGGCACTATCACATATATAGACTGTACAACGGTGTCGACTGTACAACTGCTCTACCAAACAATGTATAGTAGGTAAAATATATAGACTGTACAACGGTGTCGACTGTACAACTGCTCTACCAAACAATGTATAGTAGGTAAAATATATAGACTGTACAACGGCTCTACCAAACAATGTATAGTAGGTAAAATATATAGACTGTACAACGCTACTACCAAAAAATGTATAGTAGGTAAAATATATAGACTGTACAACGGTGTCGAATGTACAACGGTGTAGACTGAACAACTGTACAACGGTGTCGACTGTACAACGGTGTAGACTGAACAACTGTACAACGGTGTCGACTGTACAACGGTACTACCAAACAATGTATAGTAGGTAAATTATATAGACTGTACAACGGCTCTACCAAACAATGTATAGTAGGTAAAATCTGTAGACTGTACAACGGTGTCGACCTTACAACGGCTCTACTAAACAATGTATAGAAGGTAAAATCTGTCGACTGTACACCGGTGTCGTCCTTACAACGGCTCTACTAAACAATGTATAGAAGGTAAAATCTGACGACTGTACAACGGTGTCGACCTTACAACGGCTCTACTAAACAATGTATGGTAAGGTAAATTCTGTAGACTGTACAACGGTGTCGACCTTACAACGGCTCTACTAAACAATGTATAGAAGGTAAAATCTGTCGACTGTACAATGGTGTCGACCTTACAACGGCTCTACCAAACAATGTATGGTAAGGTAAAATCTGTAGACCTTACAACGGTGTCGACCTTACAACGGCTCTACCAAACAATGTATAGTAGGTAAAATCTGTAGACTGTACAACGGTGTCGATCTTACAACGGCTCTACTAAACAATGTATAGAAGGTAAAATCTGTCGACTGTACAACGGTGTCGGCCTTACAATGGCTCTACCAAACTATGTAGGGTAAGGTAAAATCTGTCGACTGTACAACCGTGTCGACCTTACAACGGCTCTACCAACCTATGTATGGTAAGGTAAAATCTGTCGACTGTACAACCGTGTCGACCTTACAACGGCTCTACCAAACTATGTATGGTAAGGTAAAATCTGTCGACTGTACAACGGTGTCGACCTTACAACGGCTCTACTAAACAATGTATAGTAGGTAAAATCTGTCGACTGTACAAAGGTGTCGAGCTTACAACGGCTCTACCAAACAATGTATGGTAAGGTAAAATCTATGGACTGTACAACAGTGTCGACCTTACAACAGTGTCGACCTTACAACGGTAATACCAAACAATGTATATATTATGAAATGTTTCTTGTTACACAACCAGTAAGTGTTTCTATGTGACGTTTTGATGACTAGTACGGTATGTACTCTGTCACCCTCATGAGACAAATGACCAGTCAAGCGTATGGACACAAAGGTGTCAAATGTGTTTTCTGTTTCTTTCTGGTGTTCACCAAGACTGGAAGGCGATTTGGAGTCCGCCTTGTTGAACACCTGAAAGATACAGAAACCTAGAAGGAAGGAAATTCACCAGATCAGAAAGGAAGCAGTCTGAGTACAAGGGTTTTGAGTTTATGACAGAGGATTTTACAATACAAATCAATGAAAGTTGAAATGGTGCTTCTTTATAAACAACTACTACACAAACACATGCCAACATACAATCATTCATATATTAAACATCTGAAATTAATTTCTGCTATTAAGGAAATTGTACATATTGTAGCCACTGGAATAAACTTTGTGATTAGATTTAAGAAGGAATTGATGTTATTGCATGTTCAGAGAAATGGAGAAAACAGGTAAACCAGTCATAAGCAGCAGAGAAAAGGACACAGGTTTGGTTGTGACGTCCCATCAGTGAGTACAGTGTGTTATCAGAGTAGAGAAAAGGACACAGGTTTGGGTATGATGTCCCATCAGTGAGTACAGTGTGTTATCAGAGTAGAGAAAAGGACACAGATTTGGGTGTGACGTCCCATCAGTGAGTACAGTGTGTTATCTGAGTAGAGAAAAGGACACAGGTTTGGGTATGACGTCCTTTCTATAAGTATTTATGTGAGTAGAATCAGAGAACATAATATATCTGAGAACACATAAGAAAATGTTACCTACCGAGGATTCTAGTGATGGGGGCACCTATACAAATAAAAACAATCATCGGTTTTAATTTGTTGAAATATATTTCTGAGTATTTATGGCTTATATATCCAGAGGTGAAATCTCAGTTTCTGTAGTATGATTTGATTAATAGTATATGAATTTCCTGCTGGAAGGATTCTGGTATCTCAAATAAGCACTTCCCAGTATATTGCAGCTGGGTAGACTAGAACTATGAGAGTTAATTGTGTTGTACCAGGACACAGCAAGAGAGAAGACTACTGTTGGTGGAGTTTGAACAATCTGTCAGTGATCAGACAGACACACAACACTGCTGTGCTGCTATCTAAATTAATAATATAAAGTTACCGCTGTATTCAAGTTATCCGATCATAGCAGTAACATACAACATACAAAGTTAGACAAGCACAATGAAAATCACTGAAGATATCTCCAAGGTCCAATTAATTGAAAATATTTTGATGAAATTATTTTGAGAACGTCCTCATTTATTTCCTGCAATCATTTTTTCTTATTATCAGATCCATTTCTTACACTTAATGAAGTGTGACGGCCACATTTTCAATGTGAATACCTAATTAAATTGTTTTACAAAAACAGCCTTTTTAAACTGAATTATATGGAAGGGTTTTAATTAACAAGGAAAACAATACCAGACATGTTTCCATTAAAATTCACATATTTACAAGGTATAAATATTCGGCATTCATGTGATAATGTACCAGGTAAATCTCACTTAGAACTTTACAGTCAACACTGGGCTAACAGTTCTGATTGCCCTAAATTTCGATTAAACTTTCCTGGTTTTTGATAGCACTCATTCAAGCGAATAACAAAGATTCTGCACATCTGCTACCTGGTGTGTACATCATTTAATGGCATGTCCTACTTTTTAACAGTCAGCTGTTACACATGAGGAAGTAACATCTGAAGACATCATCCGGCTTTTAACAACATTAACTCACTCTACCACTATCTATCTAACAACACACTTACTCAGCCCCCTGTAGGTAAACACACGTCGGTCTATGACCACCTTCAACTCACAATGTAAACAACAGACGTCATTAAAGGTTGAGTCATTGACTGTAGATATTTCTGTATCTGTATTTTTAATTTTAATCCAGAATAAACCCTTCCTTATATATTAAATTCCCAAATGGGTTTTTTCATTCCTTTATCAATGTCACAGGAATACATTTACCAGATTGGCAAGGTGGACTTTCTGTAAGGTTCACTTGATCAACAAAATTCTTTTCTAAAAATGTACACAGAAAATGTAGAAGATCTATCATAATATATTTTACGAAGATTCTTATCCTATTTCAACTCTTACACACAGGCAGTAGCTATATATATATAGACAACGTGTCAGTACTGCGGACTGTAGGTACTTACCGTGCTGGACCGACTGGCTAAGGAGAACCTGCTGCCAGTCTCACTCATATCATCCTCCGATTCTATAGAAACAAAATAGCCATAATTTAGTCAGCTTCATCATAAACATCGGAGTGTTTTAACATACAATATACATATATGTAATATATACAAGGCCCAAATTCTGGAAAAGATGTGGCTGACTTTTGAGATACAATCTAAAAGACATTATTTTACATAAAATAATTTGGCCATAAACGTTGGGAGTTTGGGCCTCGTCTAATTGAAATTAACACTGGAAGTCTCAGATTCCAGAAAATTGTGGTGAATAAACTGATATATCAGCTTACCAGGAGCATGCGGATAATCTTTGCCATTGATAGTACAACTTTTGAATTCCATCTGATTTTCAGTGAGTGTTCCTGTTTTGTCTGAGAAGATGTACTCGACTTGTCCCAGGTCCTCGGTGATGTTAAGGGCACGGCACTCAACCCTCTTGTCCATGGGTTCATAGTACATGCGAATGTCATTGGTGATGAAGTAGACCTGTCCAAGCTTGACCAACTCCACAGACACATACAAAGCCAGTGGAATGACAGTCTACAACACAAACACGGCATGTTATAAATAAGGATTCCCAGGTATGACACGTACGCTTTGACTGGAAGAGGTTATGTTCTATTCCTGTCTTAATCACAACTAAAAGTGATAATATTATCATAATTTGATGCAGTTTTATTGACCCCCCATTACCTTGTTTTCAACTTATAACCCAAAACACATTTCATTTGGTCTTATCAAATGCATTGCAACAAGTGAAAAAATTCCCACATTCAACCTCTCTATCTCCTTACTATTTATTGTCGGTTTTCTTCGAGTGACAAACTAAGAAAGCACCTAAAGGTTACGTGTACACCACACAGTTTTCCATTGATTATACCTAGCCCAAACATAAGAAAGCACCTAAAGGTTACGTGTACACCACACACAGTCTTCCATTGATTATACCTAGTCCAAACATAAGAAAGCACCTAAAGGTTACGCGTACACCACACACAGTCTTCCATTGATTATACCTAGCCCAAACATAAGAAATCAGAAGTTAGAATGATATGGCCCCTTATCTTTTTACCTGTCTTTTCTTGACCTAGCAATGTCAATAAACGAGTGACATGCACACCCAGTTGTATCACAGGTCTGTTCGGGTCCCCTACCAAGTCTTATCAGAGGACTGGTGGCTATCTATCCCACCCACTCCACACTCTCACAAAAAAACTGGTGGCTATCTATCCCACCCACTCCACACTCTCACAAAAAAACTGGTGGCTATCTATCCCACCCACTCCACACTCTCACAAAAAAACTGGTGGCTATCTATCCCACCCACTCCACACTCTCACAAAAAAACTGGTGGCTATCTATCCCACCCACTCCACACTCTCACAAAAAAACTGGTGGCTATCTATCCCACCCACTCCACACTCTCACAAAAAAACTGGTGGCTATCTATCCCACCCACTCCACACTCTCACAAAAAAACTGGTGGCTATCTATCCCACCCACTCCACACTCTCACAAAAAAACTGGTGGCTATCTATCCCACCCACTCCACACTCTCACAAAAAAACTGGTGGCTATCTATCCCACCCACTCCACACTCTCACAAAAAAACTGGTGGCTATCTATCCCACCCACTCCACACTCTCACAAAAAAACTGGTGGCTATCTATCCCACCCACTCCACACTCTCACAAAAAAACTGGTGGCTATCTATCCCACCCACTCCACACTCTCACAAAAAAACTGGTGGCTATCTATCCCACCCACTCCACACTCTCACAAAAAAACTGGTGGCTATCTATCCCACCCACTCCACACTCTCACAAAAAAACTGGTGGCTATCTATCCCACCCACTCCACACTCTCACAAAAAAACTGGTGGCTATCTATCCCACCCACTCCACACTCTCACAAAAAAACTGGTGGCTATCTATCCCACCCACTCCACACTCTCACAAAAAAACTGGTGGCTATCTATCCCACCCACTCCACACTCTCACAAAAAAACTGGTGGCTATCTATCCCACCCACTCCACACTCTCACAAAAAAACTGGTGGCTATCTATCCCACCCACTCCACACTCTCACAAAAAAACTGACTCTGAAGATGGTGTTACCCTACCCTTACCAACAAAGTAGAGAGTCCACCCTCCCCCAGGCCTACCCTTACCAACAAAGTAGAGAGTCCACCCTCCCCCAGGCCTACCCTTACCAACAAAGTAGAGAGTCCACCCTCCCCCAGGCCTACCCTTACCAACAAAGTAGAGAGTCCACCCTCCCCCAGGCCTACCCTTACCAACAAAGTAGAGAGTCCACCCTCCCCCAGACCTACCCTTACCAACAAAGTAGAAAGTCCACCCTCCCCCAGGCCTACCCTTACCAACAAAGTAGAGAGTCCACCCTCCCCCAGGCCTACCCTTACCAACAAAGTAGAGAGTCCACCCTCCCCCAGGCCTACCCTTACCAACAAAGTAGAGAGTCCACCCTCCCCCAGGCCTACCCTTACCAACAAAGTAGAGAGTCCACCCTCCCCCAGGCCTACCCTTACCAACAAAGTAGAGAGTCCACCCTCCCCCAGGCCTACCCTTACCAACAAAGTAGAGAGTCCACCCTCCCCCAGGCCTACCCTTACCAACAAAGTAGAGAGTCCACCCTCCCCCAGGCCTACCCTTACCAACAAAGTAGAGAGTCCACCCTCCCCCAGGCCTACCCTTACCAACAAAGTAGAGGAGATAATTAATATACTGGTCTACTTCATACCAGGCTCCAGCCTTCTCAGTGTAATAGTGGACTAGACAGGGTCTATTGTCTTCAGAAGTTAGAAGTTTTGAGCCCTGTAATCTAACAGTAAATATCTGTCTAGAAAATGAATCTATATCTATACCTAAAACTTGGCATTTCTAAATTTCAAACTATTTAGATATCACATATATTTACCATGCATGTCCTAGAAGTAACTTTATATTAATTCATAAAAACATACTTATATATTGATTGAATGTCTCAATAACTTAGGTCTAATATATTACACTATCATTATAATACATTGCATATCCTTGATGTTTTGCCACCTGTCACACTGACATACACATACTGACATCAACTTAACCAGGACAGGATTCCTCCACCCAGCTCAATGAACCCATTAAACTGCAAATTGGCTAACGTCATGAATGTTTTAAGAATAGTTGTACAAAAATACCACTGTAGTCCCCTGATAACACTACCACACTATGTCACACCAGTACAATAGTGAGATAGTGTCATTACGCTTACAAGTGTGTGTGTTTTATTGATTAATACCTGAAAACAATTCACGAGGATATAACGTATGTTTGTTACAGTGCTGTTTTACCACTGGACATTGACCTAAACATCTGGCTAACACAGACCTGGTCATCTATTGTTACAACGGTGTCGAATAGGTTTGACTGGCTAACACAGACCTTGTCACTAACACAGACCTGGTCATCTACTGTAATATGATCCTGACATAGGTTTGACTGGCTAACACAGCCCTTGTCATCTATTGTGATATGACCCTGACATAGGTTTGACTGGCTAACACAGACCTGGTCATCTACTGTAATATGATCCTGACATAGGTTTGACTGGCTAACACAGACCTTGTCATCTACTGTAATATGATCCTGACATAGGTTTGACTGGCTAACACACACCTTGTCATCTATTGTAATAGGATCCTAACATAGGTTTGATTGGCTAACACAGACCTTGTCATCTATTGTAATAGGATCCTGACATAGGTTTGACTGGCTAACACAGCCCTTGTCATCTATTGTGATATGACCCTGACATAGGATTGACTGGCTAACACAGACCTTGTCATCTATTCTAACACAGACCTTGTCATCTATTGTGATATGCCCCTGACATAGGTTTGACTGGCTAACCCACACCTTGTCATCTATTGTAATAGGACCCTAACATAGGTTTGATTGGCTAACACAGACCTTGTCATCTATTGTAATAGTATCCTGACATAGGTTTGACTGGCTAACACAGCCCTTGTCATCTATTGTGATATGACCCTGACATAGGATTGACTGGCTAACACAGACCTTGTCATCTATTGTAATAGTATCCTGACATAGGTTTGACTGGCTGACACAGCCCTTGTCATCTATTGTAATAGGATCCTGACATAGGTTTGATTGGCTAACACAGACCTGGTCATCTATTGTAATAGGATCCTGACATAGGTTTGATTGGCTAACACAGACCTTGTCATCTATTGTAATACTAACCTGACATAGGTTTGACTGGCTAACACAGACACAGACCTTGTCATCTATTGTAATATGATCCTGACATAGGTTTGACTGGCTGACACAGACCTTGTCATCTATTGTAATAGGACCCTGACATAGGTCTGACTGGCTAACACAGACCTTGTCATCTATTGTAATAGTATCCTGACATAGGTTTGACTGGCTAACACAGCCCTTGTCATCTATTGTAATAGGATCCTGACATAGGTTTGATTGGCTAACACAGACCTTGTCATCTATTGTAATAGTATCCTGACATAGGTTTGACTGGCTGACACAGACCTTGTCATCTATTGTAAGAGGATCCTGACATCGGTTTGACTGGCTAACACAGACCGTGTCATCTATTGTAATATGACCCTGACCTAGGTTTGACTGGCTAACACAGACCTTGTCATGTATTGTAAGATGACCCTGACCTAGGTTTGACTGGCTAACACAGCCCTTGTCATCTATTGTGATATGACCCTGACATAGGATTGACTGGCTAACACAGACCTTGTCATCTATTGTGATATGATCCTGACATAGGTTTGACTGGCTAACACAGCCCTTGTCATCTATTGTGATATGACCCTGACATAGGTTTGACTGGCTAACACAGGCCTTGTCATCTATTGTAATAGGACCCTGACATAGGGTTGACTGGCTAACACAGACCTGGTCATCTATTGTAATACGACCCTGACATAGGTTTGACTGGCTAACAGAGACCTTGTCATCTATTGTAAGATGACCCTGACCTAGGTTTGACTGGCTAACACAGCCCTTGTCATCTATTGTAATAGGACCCTGACATAGGGTTGACTGGCTAACACAGACCTGGTCATCTATTGTAATACGACCCTGACATAGGGTTGACTGGCTAACACAGACCTTGTCATCTATTGTGATATGATCCTGACATAGGTTTGACTGGCTAACTCAGACCTTGTCATCTATTGTGATATGCCCCTGACATAGGTTTGACTGGCTAACACACACCTTGCCATCTATTGTAATAGGATCCTAACATAGGTTTGACTGGCTAACACAGACCTTGTCATCTATTGTAAGATGACCCTGACCTAGGTTTGACTGGCTAACACAGACCTTGTCATCTATTGTAATAGGACCCTGACATAGGTTTGGCTGGCTAACACAGACCTTGTCATCTATTGTAATATGGTCCTGACATAGGTTTGACTGGCTAACACAGACCTTGTCCTCTATTGTAATAGGACCCTGACATAGGTTTGACTGGCTAACACAGACACAGACCTTGTCATCTATTGTAATATGATCCTGACATAGTTTTCACTCGGAGACAGTTCAATAACCTGCACAGGTGTTTACCACCAACTGAAGATAATTGTATTTGAGGCTGAAGATGACTCAGTGATGATGATCATGACAAATATCAAAACATGAAATTGAAATTGAACCTTAGTTCCACAGCCCCAACATTTGAAAACCACAACCCACGATTGTAAACATTGGAGGTAACTGTGAACTCTTCACAACTTATTGAAAGAAAGGTTAACACATGTACGTGTAGTATGTACACGTCTATACGGAGGAAGTTACTGTGGCTGACAGTCTATGTTTGTTTCTCTGGTGCCATACTCTAATTGCAATACTGACTGTAATACAAGATCCACTTAAATTTGATGTACTGTCAATTGACAATTACCAATTGTATAAAACATTGTTTGTGTATTATATAAGAGGCCTATATATATATATATATATATATATATAGTATGATGGTGTTTTAATTGTTAAGAGCAGGATATTTGTGCATGAATATCCATCATCTATTACTGTATACAACTGTACCAGGAATCTTTACCCTTCAACGGTAATGTCCGCCCAAAGGAAATTTTCACCTTCATTTAATGTATATGGTATGGTACCAATATTTCCTGTTATGATAAATTAACCCGTATTAAGGAGAGATAGAAAAAAAAGATTAACAATGGCAAAATCTTTCCGGTTTACAGAACTTAACAAAGACAAGTCCATATACCACCAAATCTCGGTGTTTACTGTGTATACAAACCTGGTAGATGATGATGTAGGTAAAAAACACCACAAAGGCTTGGAAGTACGGATTGTACCATTCATCACTCTCATAGGGAATGAAGGGTACCAGGTGACGGTCTTTGTAGCCCCCCAGCCATATACCACTAGCTGTAAACAGATTGACATCAAAATATAAACATTGTGGAAACAAGAATATCACTCAAAATATTAACACTGGAATATCAGGATAGTTTACACTGCTCTTCACTGGGAGATCATGTAGGTTTGACAGTCCACTGTACAATATATGATTAAAAATTCATAAAATTTTAATTTAATGAGATAAGGAAATACGTTTAAATGGGCTAGATTTTACAAAACATAGTGCATGTATGCATTGAGCAGCAACGTTTTGTGGAGGCTGAAAGCTCAGGTAACATCTGTTGTGTGACCGATATACAGGTATCAGTGTCTTCTGCTAAGGTCTACAGAGCTGGTGTAATACAGCAAGGAAAATACTTGGTTTGTGTGAGTTATATTTTCATGTAAAGATCATTTATTCAAATATCTTGAAAATATTTATTATTTAGACACATTTAAGATAAATAATATCATTCATATCATGACTTCAAATCCTTGTGTATATATAAGTTGTTTTTATCTAAACAGTGCAAGTAAGTATCCACAAAATGAAGAAATCAGCAGTACTTACCAATGGCACAAAAGAAGCAGAGAAAGAGGAGGAGGATGACACACCAGACCACGTCACGGTTGATGTGACGCTCCAACTTGCTGCGTTTGTAGCGAGGATTTCTATTGTTTAACATGGCTTTGGTGTCATGCCCTGGTAAAGAAGAAACCATTGTGTTAATGTCTATGGAGATAACTATAAATGATGAAACCATCCAGGAAATCTATTTTACAACTTGATAATAACCCAGATTTCTTCATCACTGAATTATGTAAAGGTGTATTTTGTTATTCTTCCACCCCAGATAAATCTCGCAGCATAGGTACACCAAGCCTGGCCTATCAATCCACTAGGAACTCTATATTTAACCTGATCACTCTTAATTTTACTTGGCTACTCTTAATTTAATTTCCTGATCATTCTCAATTATACTTGACTGCTCATAACATAAGAAATTTACAGTGCTTGTTACAACAACTTGTATTGTTCCCCTACACCTGTAGTATTCCGAGACAGCAGTGTATTTGTAATAGACCAGCTCACTCAACAGTCGAGTAAGTATAAGATCTAACTGGTAAAGTTGCTAACATGAATAAAAAATATTTCTGGATGTTATTTCTTTACACTTTGAGTTTGTTGGAAACACAAGAAAAATTTACTTTGGGATCGTATATAGAAAACCCCTGGACAAGTTTGTAACAGTTAGCTGATGCTCTTTTTGTCATGTCTGTGATAACTATCAGCAAAAGCCTCGGAATTGAAAAAAACAATGTGTGGCTCACCTGCATACACCACAATGCCCTCCACATAATCGGTGTTGCGGACAGTACAGCCCCTCAGTAACAAGTTATCCTTGTTCAGGGATATCTTGTCACCCTGGTTGATTCTGAAAAAAATATCAAACATGACAGAGTTTTAATATTTATATACAAAACGTTCTCATCAGGATAATTACCTAGGTACTTTGTAACACCATAAGTAATTTTATGAAAGACATTTAATTTTGTAACATCTTCAGTCAAATTATATCATTTGATGATTGCAACATGTGGCCTGATATTTTATAGTGGTGAAGAGTCACAAAGATAGTCATTATCACATTAAGTGTTTTTTATAACAGTCATACATTTACCCTCATTTTTCATAAAATATTTTTCCAAAACTATGTTGCGTTTTGATGAACATATAACGGTACATGTTTTTTTTCCCTTAAAATAATCAACATTGTGAACAAAAACAGCAATGCGTAACACTTCCGGGGAGGGATTTAATAGTAAACAAATAAACAAGTAATCTAAATTTAAAATCAGGACATACTTAAATAGATAGCTGATTCATACAGCTAATCATCAGTGTATATCACTGATTGTTTTAATGTTATTCAAAGCTGTACAGTTAAGTACATGTAATTAACACCCACACAAGGTATAGCCATACACATCACTTATTTATACTAGCTAAATCAACAAACACACCATGCCAAACCATTTCTGGAGCCATTACACCTGAACCACCAATAAATCTGACCCATGTTCAATACACATACATTGTAGACCTATCTGTGGTACATCAAATGTAGTGTCATGTCCATTAGTATTAGCATATTTAGTTAATGAGTCAGTTCACATGCAAAATGTTTCACCTAATAGCTGTCAAACAACAGGTAAGTTAATTAGCATGGGTTGTCCTTATGTTAGCTACAGAAATCAATCATCATATGTTAAAAAACATGGGTTGTTTTCATGTTAGCTACAGAAATCAATCATTGATGATACTGTAAATAAGAGTTATTTCACAACACCAATAACCCTACACATGTAAGTATTTAGCCACACCTGGCGTACCTGTTGTCAGGATTAATGTTGTTCCTGTTTAAGAAATTCCCATATATATGATCAGATGACAATTCATTTTCATTATAAACTTAATGAGGTTACATACCTGTACAGGTAACTATATATATATGATAACAAGGCAAAGTATTGCAAGGCATAGTTCGATATCCCCACTGGTAATTATTTTATCCAGCTGTATACGTACACCTACATTTGTTCCTCAGGATATAGGTGACAGTGACATACTTCTTGTACTCAGCATTCCGTACTTGACATTGTATTATTTTTTCATTTTATTTGACATTCCACCATCCCCACACTGGTATATCAAATCTTGTTATTCCAGCTAAAATTGTATAGAAAATATGCCCAAGACAAACTTTATCAAAGATCAAACCACAGGTCACAGCGACCTACTTTTGCACTAGACACTCTGCCATCCCAAGATGTACTTGCAAACCAAATCTGGTTATTCCAGGTGAAATAGTATAGGTTGAAAGGTTAAAGGTCAAGTCATAGGTCACAGTGATCTAGTCATTTTGTAATTGACACTCCGCCATCCTCTGACGTACTTGCATACCGAATCTATTTACTCCAGGTGAAATAATTACAATTATATATAAAAGATATGACCCCAACAAGCTCTTTGATTGGACAAAAGGACGCTCTAGTCCCCCGGGAACCGGTTGGGGACCAAAAACATTATGAAAGTACATGCTGTTTTTTATTTAGATGTGACCTACTCACAGTGCACTGAACATCTTGATGAAACTGGCGTGACATCACACACACAAGATGTTCAGAGCACTGTGAGTAGGTCACACACATAAGATGTTCAGTGCACTGTGACTACGTCACACACACAAGATGTTCAATGCCCTGAGAGTATGTCACACACACAAGATGTTCAATGCCCTGAGAGTATGTCACACACACAAGATGTTCAGGGGACTGTGAGTAGGTCACACACATAAGATGTTCAGTGCACTGTGAGTAGGTTACACACACAAGATGTTCAGTGCCCTGTGAGTAGGTCACACACACAGTGCACTGAACATCTTGCGTGTGTGACCTACTCACAGTGCACCGAACAGCTGGTGTGTGTGACCTACTCACAGTTCACTGAACATCTTGTGTGTGTGCCCTACTCACAGTGCACTGAACATCTTGTGTGTGTGATGTCACGCCAGTTTCATCAAGATTTAATGGTTCAAAAATTATGGTACAAAGAAGACAATATCATATTAGAACCAGAACAAAAACAGACATATATATGTATATGGCTCTATTTCATTTTAAGAAGATTATCTAGAAATCATCTTCTCTAGGATAACATGTGATCAAAATCTTATAATAAGTAAAAAAACAGGAAGGAACCCAACAGTTTACCCCTCTTACTGACACATTTTTTCTTTTCTTTTACATTTTGTTTTAATTATGTGTGTATCGTAAAATATAACATCCTCTCAGTCTGATCTTCTCGCTGATCAATTACTTCATAATGTGGCAAGTATAAAAGGAGATAAAAAATTATCTTTCGGACATCATGCCCTCAAAACTTATAATAAACAGGAAAGTAATGCAACAGTTCATCTGTAAAAAAAAAAGATAAATAGACATCTGTAGTAGAATAAACATGCAACAATGTGTTTTGTACACACTGTAGTAAATAATATTATGAAAGAAGATGTCATAAATGACCGTAGATATACGTAAGCTTGGTAACCTGCCTATATACTAGCTGCTGTTGTATGTGTAGGTCTGGAGGGGAGACATATATAAACACATTACTTACATGTATCCCTTGAACTTGTAGATTTCTGAGTTGGGAAGGTCACATTCCAAAGTGAAGTCAAACATCTTTGCCTTGAATCCATCCTTCTGAAATTAAAAATATAACAGTTTAGTCTTTCATAGCTGACTACATAGTAATGACAACTGACCTATTTATTAACGTATTTCTTACATAGTGTCACTTTTAATTTTTGGCGTACGCAACTTGCAGGTACAACTTTGAGGATTTCGTAATGTGCTTTTCTAAAACGACCACCGTATTGGTTAGTCAATGGTAACCCATAATGGAGTTCTAAGTGATTCCCTACGGTCCAATAGGTGTATTACCTGCTGTGTCTAGTGTAATTGTGTGGGCTTAGGCTGATCATACATGTAGATGTCACTTAAACATCAAACTTGTTTCCATTTTATCTGTATTTTATAGGATATGACTGTTACAGGAGATCACTGATTGATCAAACTTATCAAGATGGAATATATGTAGTTAACCTATTGTAGATGACTTGTGGGCAAGTATGGAAATTTAAATACAGTAGACATGGTTAGTCTCCTACAACAGTTATAAATACAGTAGACATGGTTAGTCTCCTACAACAGTTACGTTTACAGCAGAGCGGTATTAACCCTTTCACCACTGTAGACCATAATCGACTCATCCATATCAATGAATGGTAGAGTCTACTCAAGTTACATAGGGTTGAAAGGGTTAAATGAGAAGTACACTGAAGCCTCTGACCATATACTTAGTACGTATACCCTGGTGAGATGGACACTTACCTATGTTAATCTACAGGTGTTGTATTTCAATCTAATATGTCTTTATTCTAACTGTCCAAGAAATGTGAAACTCTGTGTACTGTTATAGTGTACTAGCCTTCAATCTATAACAATAAGGCTTAATCAGGCCACTACATGTACTACAGTATATATATACTACTGCTAGGCTTAATCAGGCCACTACATGTACTACAGTATATATATACTACTGCTAGGCTTAATCAGGCCACTACATGTACTACAGTATATATATACTACTGCTAGGCTTAATCAGGCCACTACATGTACTACAGTATATATATACTACTGCTAGGCTTAATCAGGCCACTACATGTACTACAGTATATATATACTACTGCTAGGCTTAATCAGGCCACTACATGTACTACAGTATATATATACTACTGCTAGGCTTAATCAGGCCACTACATGTACTACAGTATATATATACTACTGCTAGGCTTAATCAGGCCACTACATGTACTACAGTATATATATACTACTGCTAGGCTTAATCAGGCCACTACATGTACTACAGTATATATATACTACTGCTAGGCTTAATCAGGCCACTACATGTACTACAGTATATATATACTACTGCTAGGCTTAATCAGGCCACTACATGTACTACAGTATATATATACTACTGCTAGGCTTAATCAGGCCACTACATGTACTACAGTATATATATACTACTGCTAGGCTTAATCAGGCCACTACATGTACTACAGTATATATATACTACTGCTAGGCTTAATCAGGCCACTACATGTACTACAGTATATATATACTACTGCTAGGCTTAATCAGGCCACTACATGTACTACAGTATATATATACTACTGCTAGGCTTAATCAGGCCACTACATGTACTACAGTATATATATACTACTGCTAGGCTTAATCAGGCCACTACATGTACTACAGTATATATATACTACTGCTAGGCTTAATCAGGCCACTACATGTACTACAGTATATATATACTACTGCTAGGCTTAATCAGGCCACTACATGTACTACAGTATATATATACTACTGCTAGGCTTAATCAGGCCACTACATGTACTACAGTATATATATACTACTGCTAGGCTTAATCAGGCCACTACATGTACTACAGTATATATATACTACTGCTAGGCTTAATCAGGCCACTACATGTACTACAGTATATATATACTACTGCTAGGCTTAATCAGGCCACTACATGTACTACAGTATATATATACTACTGCTAGGCTTAATCAGGCCACTACATGTACTACAGTATATATATACTACTGCTAGGCTTAATCAGGCCACTACATGTACTACAGTATATATATACTACTGCTAGGCTTAATCAGGCCACTACATGTACTACAGTATATATATACTACTGCTAGGCTTAATCAGGCCACTACATGTACTACAGTATATATATACTACTGCTAGGCTTAATCAGGCCACTACATGTACTACAGTATATATATACTACTGCTAGGCTTAATCAGGCCACTACATGTACTACAGTATATATATACTACTGCTAGGCTTAATCAGGCCACTACATGTACTACAGTATATATATACTACTGCTAGGCTTAATCAGGCCACTACATGTACTACAGTATATATATACTACTGCTAGGCTTAATCAGGCCACTACATGTACTACAGTATATATATACTACTGCTAGGCTTAATCAGGCCACTACATGTACTACAGTATATATATACTACTGCTAGGCTTAATCAGGCCACTACATGTACTACAGTATATATATACTACTGCTAGGCTTAATCAGGCCACTACATGTACTACAGTATATATATACTACTGCTAGGCTTAATCAGGCCACTACATGTACTACAGTATATATATACTACTGCTAGGCTTAATCAGGCCACTACATGTACTACAGTATATATATACTACTGCTAGGCTTAATCAGGCCACTACATGTACTACAGTATATATATACTACTGCTAGGCTTAATCAGGCCACTACATGTACTACAGTATATATATACTACTGCTAGGCTTAATCAGGCCACTACATGTACTACAGTATATATATACTACTGCTAGGCTTAATCAGGCCACTACATGTACTACAGTATATATATACTACTGCTAGGCTTAATCAGGCCACTACATGTACTACAGTATATATATACTACTGCTAGGCTTAATCAGGCCACTACATGTACTACAGTATATATATACTACTGCTAGGCTTAATCAGGCCACTACATGTACTACAGTATATATATACTACTGCTAGGCTTAATCAGGCCACTACATGTACTACAGTATATATATACTACTGCTAGGCTTAATCAGGCCACTACATGTACTACAGTATATATATACTACTGCTAGGCTTAATCAGGCCACTACATGTACTACAGTATATATATACTACTGCTAGGCTTAATCAGGCCACTACATGTACTACAGTATATATATACTACTGCTAGGCTTAATCAGGCCACTACATGTACTACAGTATATATATACTACTGCTAGGCTTAATCAGGCCACTACATGTACTACAGTATATATATACTACTGCTAGGCTTAATCAGGCCACTACATGTACTACAGTATATATATACTACTGCTAGGCTTAATCAGGCCACTACATGTACTACAGTATATATATACTACTGCTAGGCTTAATCAGGCCACTACATGTACTACAGTATATATATACTACTGCTAGGCTTAATCAGGCCACTACATGTACTACAGTATATATATACTACTGCTAGGCTTAATCAGGCCACTACATGTACTACAGTATATATATACTACTGCTAGGCTTAATCAGGCCACTACATGTACTACAGTATATATATACTACTGCTAGGCTTAATCAGGCCACTACATGTACTACAGTATATATATACTACTGCTAGGCTTAATCAGGCCACTACATGTACTACAGTATATATATACTACTGCTAGGCTTAATCAGGCCACTACATGTACTACAGTATATATATACTACTGCTAGGCTTAATCAGGCCACTACATGTACTACAGTATATATATACTACTGCTAGGCTTAATCAGGCCACTACATGTACTACAGTATATATATACTACTGCTAGGCTTAATCAGGCCACTACATGTACTACAGTATATATATACTACTGCTAGGCTTAATCAGGCCACTACATGTACTACAGTATATATATACTACTGCTAGGCTTAATCAGGCCACTACATGTACTACAGTATATATATACTACTGCTAGGCTTAATCAGGCCACTACATGTACTACAGTATATATATACTACTGCTAGGCTTAATCAGGCCACTACATGTACTACAGTATATATATACTACTGCTAGGCTTAATCAGGCCACTACATGTACTACAGTATATATATACTACTGCTAGGCTTAATCAGGCCACTACATGTACTACAGTATATATATACTACTGCTAGGCTTAATCAGGCCACTACATGTACTACAGTATATATATACTACTGCTAGGCTTAATCAGGCCACTACATGTACTATTTATACTACTGCTAAGTTTGTACAGGTACTCAATGTGTCAAATTCTTGCCATGGTCAACCTAATCCTGTCTTTGAACATATGTATACATGAACCATACTTCTAAATCTATCTGTGTATTTATTTACAGTCATTCCCAAAAATTTGATTTTAAATCTATATAAATAAATGTACTCTAGTATACATGTATATAGATTTAAAATCAATCATATAAATTGTCTATAAAGCTTTCAAAACAAGGAAATATATGCTTTCATTATCGTCTCTCCCCCATATCTAATATTCTTTGATTTGATCATATTTAGTGATATAAATATATTATTTGAAATTACCTACGCTGCTCATGTGATGTGTAGGTAAATCAAATTAACAAATATACAGGTATCCCCTAATATACACCAAACTAACAAATATAAACAACAGGTATCCCCTTCATATATCTATACACCAAAGTATCTGTAGTTTAATTGTAACCGGTAAGAGGATTCTATGTCAATACTGGTAGTAAAGTGACATAATTTCAAAGAATTTATATTTCTGGGAGATTTAAAATTAGCAAATCAGTCTTTACACGAATTCACGCAAATTTTAATCTCTCTGAAAATATAATGATTAACAGAACAGCTCTGTTGTTTCTAGACTAATATAAAAGCAGGAGTCTCTAAGTGCTGTTTGATCTGTCATTTTATAACTGAACAATAAAATCAGACATATAAATCATGTTTTATATCCTTGAAATTTTATGACACCAACACAGCTTGGCGCCTGCCCCCACTGATCAGCCGAC